AACCTATGAAGCTATCTGCAGCCACTGCAGCACAAGTTTGATCTCCGGCCAGGGAGCAACTCACATGGCGCAGCAGACCTCTCCTGACTCGCCTGCTGCTCCCCTCAGCAGTGTATTTCAGTCGTTCTGCCTGTTTTGTTCCCCACTCTGTCTCTGGTGAATCCTTTCACCTTCCCACACCTCTGGCCTGAAACCCAGTTCTTGTATGCAAAAATAAATATTTTTTTAAAAATACACAGAGAAAGAGGAGGACTTTCCAGGAAAGGGAACAATCTATGCAAAATCTAGATATTTGACAGCTTGTGATGTGTTCTGGCAATGTGGAGTAATTTGTTGTTAAGTGGTAAGAGATAGAAAGGTAGATTGGGCGGAGCTGTAAAAATCTCATAGGGTATAAGTTGTAAATTTGGACTTTATCTTACGGGCATTGAGGAGCCATAGAAAGGTTTTTAAAATAAGTCAGTGCTTGATCAGAATTAAGATTTGCAATTGTTACTTCAATGGCCATGAGAAGATAGGTCAGAAGTGTGAGACAGGGTAACTACTACCTTTGCAGTAGGCTTTGCAGTAGGACAGAAACTGTCCTGGGGTGTTAGTTATACAGAAATAGAAGGAAAAAAAACATGCCTACGGAGCAAGGGTCACTAGGATTTGGGAGGTAACTTGGGAATCAGAGGACTTAAGTGATTGTGATCCTTTGGCTTCTCAGTGGCTAGCAGTACAACTTACTGATTTGTTTTGAAAAGTGGATACAGGAGGAGGATCAGACATTGACTTGAGTTTGACACAGCAATTTGGGAGTATCTAGTTGACAGTGTTTGTGCAGAAGAGCGTTGAGGAAGGGATTATAGGTCTAGATTAGGGGTCATGAGATGGCACAGCAGATTATAAAGAGACGTTATTGTCAAAAGCAGAACCCTGGATGACTTTCAAGGGACACTTGTAGTCTCAAGTTACGTCTTTTATAGAAATCACATTTTTTTCTACTTTGTAAAATAGACTTGATTTTTTCAAGCAGTTTTAGATACACAGCAAATTGAGAGGAAGGCATAGAGATTTCCTGTATGACCTGCACCCCTACATATGCATCTATTGTCAATATTCCCTTTCTGTTTTAAGTTGATTGAAGTAAAATTTACAAACAATAAAACATAACCCGTTAAGAGATACAGTTCTAAGAGCTTTGACAAATGTAAACTTTTCAGTAACCACCTCTGTAATCAAGATATAGAATATTTTCATCACTCCAGAAAGTCCATTAATGATTCTTTAACTAATCCCCTTATTCCCTTGACTACACTGGCTACCAGTGATGTGATTTCTATACCTATGGTTTTGCCTTTTCCAGAATTCCATATGAATGGAATCATGTAGAATGTACCCTTTTGTGTCACCTTAGGATAATGATTTTGAGATACATCAATGTTACTTGCACGTATTAGAAGTTCATTCCTTTTTATGGTTAAATAGTATTCTGTTGTGTTTGTGTATATATGGTGGTTTGTTTATCCATTCACCATTTGGTGAACATTTGGTTCTTTAGTTTTTGGTGATTATGAATAATGTTGCTATAAACATTCACAAACAGGCCTTTGTATAGATATGTTTCATTTTTCTTGGGTAAATACCTCAGATTGAGTCATATGGAAAAGGTATATTTAACTTTATGAAGCTTGACAAAAACTGCTAAAGCAACTACTGTTTTTCATTCCCATTAGCAATGTATGATAGTTTTTCACTTATTCTACACCCTTGATACAACCCATTGTTTTTCTTTTAATTTTAGCCATTTTTATAGGTTTATTGAGGCATCCCAGAGAGGGTTCAGTTTTCCTAATGACTAATGATAATTGAGTTTCTTTCGTGTGCTTATTTGCCATCGGAACATATATGGTGAAAAGCCCATTTTTAAAGCTGGGTTGCTTATTTCCTTATTGGTTTTTGAGAGCTATCTGTATATTTTGGATATAAATCCCTTACTAGACATATGATTAACAAATAGTTTCTCTAAATCTCTGGCTGTCTTTTCATTCTCATAATAGTGTGTTTTTTCAGTAGAAATTTCTGGTTTTGATAACATCCATTTTATCAATTTTTATGTTCTCAGAAATTGTTATGCCCCAGCATCACAAACATCTTTTCCTGTTTTCTTTAAGTTTTGCATTTTTTAAGATTTACTTTGAGACCTATGATTCATTTTGACTTCAAGCTTGTATATGATGTGAAGTATTGGCGGATACTCAGTTGCATTTGTATGAATGCCAGGTTAATTAACAAGTACAATTTGTTTTATAACCTTTCACAATGAATTACCTTCCTGACTGTTGAAATCAGGTGTCTATGCCTATGTGGGTTTACTTCTAGATTCTGTTCTGTTCGATCTGTGTGTCTTCCCTTTCGCTAACACTACAATGCCTTCATTACTTTACCTGAAACTACATTTATTTTGGAGATGATTGTGGTGTCTGTTAGGAATACTAGTGGCAGCAAGGAACAGAAATCCATACTAATAGTGGGGGGTCTGTTTTTCTATTACAAGTGCTCTAGAGGTAAGCAGTCGCTGGTTTATTGAAATTGCTTATTTGTACCGGGGGCCAACAGACTACAGCCTGTCACCCGTTTTGTAATTCACCTGCATAGGTTCTAAAAATGCATGTGTCCAACCCCAACTTCTGAGACTAGTTTAAGGGGAGAAACAGGTGTTTGAATTTTAACAAGCTCCTGTGAAATATTAGTGATTGTGTTGTATAGTCATGGTGAAGAGCCTTAATCAAAGATTAGATTTTAAGTATAGTGTGCAGACTAGCAGCATTACACTTTGCTGGGAACCTTGTAAAAATGCAAAGTATCAGACTCAGCTCAGACTTACTGAATTGGAACTCACTCTAGGGCCCAACAGCTCGTGTTTTAGCAAGTTCTCCAGATGATTCTGATGCATGCCAAAATGTGGGAGCCTTGAAAATCATTGGTCAATGTTTCCCACATTGGCCTAGGGAAGATTAATTAACTGTCTTATATAAAAACTCTAAGTATGTATAGTGTAATGTCACAGACAGTAATTTTGAAATTGGATTGAAGGTTTATAAATGATATAGCACAGTAATTGTTGAGTATTGTATTGGATCTGACTATCCAAGGTGTATGTTAGGTGACTTTTTAAGCCTTTTAAAAATCAATGTTTTTATGTGTGTACATTTCTTTTCCTTGCCCCTAACCTTTCAGGAAGAGTTAAGGAAATAGAAGACAGTTCTTATTGTTTACAGAATTTATAAATGAGGGAAGAGTGCAAGATAAACATGTATAAACAGAAAGACAAAACAGTTTCTTTCAGATTAGGTATATTTCTGTGATTGGTGGAAATATTACAATGTAGGCGATCTCCCATTACAAAAGCTGGGTTTCCTGAACCCTGTATACCAAAGAATGATACTTCACAGTATATACCATATAATGTCTTCTCTTCAATTTACTTTGCTCTTTTAATGATAGCCTTCCCAGTTATAATTACTAATTGCTTAAACATGAGCACTAATATCTTTTCTCCATCTGTTTTCATGAAGCCATAACTATCCTACTTATGTCATTTCCCCTTCTGCTTGGAAAACAGTTTAGCTTCAGTTAGGTTCTATCTTGTTTACTACGAGTGATACAGTATTTCTTCTGAAAGAGACAAGGGTGATGAGAATTAAGTTTTAGTTCAGTTTTTAGGTGCTTTGAAAAACCTTTGAAAGAAAAGTTTCTGAAAGAAATAAATTTGATTGCACTTGTATGGGAACAGGCATATCAAAGTCAAAATTACCTAACCCACTTAAAAGTTCCACCACAGTGGCTATAACCATAACATGAAGTTCACATAAATAAGAGTTGTCATTGAAGCCAAGAAGTTGAGCATCTATCTGTCTGGCCCTTATCTCTGGCCATGAGTAGCTGCCATGTCAGAATATCCTCAGGAAGATGTCTTCAAAAAGACTCAAGACTGTTTCTCAGTCATAATTTACAGCAAAAGGAACTTGAAGTTTATAGTGTATAAAGTAATAATTGAACTGGGTTCCTTGGTAGTTCAGAGATACCTCTGTTACTGGACTTCTGCTTCCAAACTTCAGTGTAAGTTTTACTGGGAAGACCTCATTCTGTTTAAAAATCTCGTCACCCCACACATTAACTTTTTTTCAGTTTCAGTCATCAGGAGCCTCCTAAATCATCACTTCTCCCCTCCCCCCTTTTTTCTCATGACTTCCTTTTCTTAAATGAATTATTTCTTCTAGTAATTCTTGAATAAGCATTTAGTTTCAGTACTGGGTTTTGTCACTTGTGTTTTCCATAGCATTGGGCAGTTTTCTTTTGATTTGTCAATTATTTATTTCTTGAGCAACTAATAATAAACTGTCATGACTTCAGAAAATGCTTGACATTATTGAAAGAGTGCTTTTTTACTCCAGGATGTTTTATACATGTATCTCTCCACCTTTATTCAAATGTATGTGAACTATAAGGACCTTTTCATATCAGAGAAGTCGCTCTGAGAAATATGAGAGACTTATAGCAGGAGTGGAGAAAATGCATATGAAAATTTATTACATCATAAGTATGTTTGTGTTGATAACTTTGGGAAGCAAACACATTTTCCCTTTTTCTTAACAATAAGAGAAGCTGCTAAAGCTATTCTTAAAGGTATTATTCCTCACCAGACAATTGAAATTGCAAATATTTCAATTGTTAATTTAGGGCACTGTAGAAAACTTTTAGTATCATTGACAAACTTACATATTTCTGGGTATTAGTCTCAAATTCACTGTATGCTTTTTCATGAAAACCAGAATTAAGAGAACAGCTGCAGCTCTTATTGCAGATCTTGATTTATTCTGTTTTTTTTTTTTTTAAATTCAGAAGATATCTTTATCAAAAGAAATGCTGATGATTTTCTCTAGAATACAGACCCATTTAATCAGTACTGGCCTCTCTTCTTCACTTTGCTGATTGCATGTATTTGTGACCCTTAGATTATAGGGAATGGAAGTGAGCAGCAGCTGCAAAAAGAGCTAGCAGATGTGCTGATGGATCCTCCCGTGGACGACCAGCCAGGGGACAAGGAGCTTGTGGAAAGGTCACAACTGGATGGCGAAGGAGATGGGCCTCTTTCTAATCAACTCTCAGCTTCATCCACCATTAACCCTGTGCCATTAGTAGGGCTCCAAAAGCCAGAGATGAGCCTGCCAGTAAAATCTGGACAAGGAGGTTAGGATTGCTGCATTGCTTGCGTAACTGAAGGTTATTGTTTTTAATATTTGAGTGTCCACCTTGTACCATGTTTGATTTTGAGCAAGCAAAAATCATTACCTATGTTCTAGATTCTCCAGATTCTCATTTTAATGGGAGGTGGGAGGAGTAAAATACATGTTTCATTCTGCTTTCCTTTTAAAGTATGTCATTTATACCAAAGAAAGAGAAACAGGAATTAAATGACATTGAGGAAGTCTTTTCTAAATATTTAAAGATTTTTCCAGGAAAGAAGGAATTTGAGTACAATGTTAGAGAAGTGGAGGAATAATGCTTGGTGAAGATATGTTTGCTCCATACCTGCTCCAAACTAAAGCTTTGTAGGAATAGTTATCAAGTTGAAAAAGGGAGCTGAAAGGCATCACAAGGGAGGAGGGAAGTGGCAATTATAAAGGCTCATTGGGAAAAGTAGGGTATTAAAACTGTAGGTGTTTATTGAGAGAGAGAAATTAAGGGATTGAGAGAACATAAAGAAGTGACTAAGATTACAAATAAATTATTTGAGTGCAAGTCAGAAATTATGACAGATTTGGGATTTTTCAGAGAGGTAAAATACTACATGTATTTTTGACTTAACTGTAAATTATAAAGTCAAAACATTAAAAGAAATAGATAAATCACATCTGAAACCCAGGTCACTTTTTAGGTTTAGAATTGACTTGACAACAATACCTAAAAATTTAGGTGTTAGTGACGGAGTTCTAGTGTGATATTTCTGACTTTAACAGACATTTCTTCTGAGAATGGCCTATTATTTCATCAGTATTTAATATTAGAACTGAAATGAGACTTAGAGAATTTTACTTGGTCTTCATGTCAGCATATCAAAATGAAAATACCCATCTTATTTCTGTTTCTTTCAGATTCTGAAGGATCTAGTCCTTTTACACCAGTGGCTGATGAGGACAGTGTAGTTTTCAGTAAACTAACTTATTTAGGCTGTGCCTCAGTCAATGCTCCCAGGAGTGAAGTGGAAGCCTTAAGGATGATGTCCATTTTAAGAAGCCAGTGGCAGATTTCACTAGATGTAACCCTGTCGGTGCCGAATGTATCTGAAGGAACTGTGAGGTAAGACCAACTTCTTGAAACGTTTGTAACATTTGATTAGATTTCTGACCCATTTTTTTTTTTTTTAAGATTTATTTATTTATACAAGAACTAGGGTACAGGTCAGATGCTCAGGAGGGTGAGAGGATTCACCAGAGACAGAGTGGGGAACAGAACAGGCAGACTGACGAAATACACTGCTGAGGGGAGCAGCAGGCGAGGCAGGAGAGGTCTGCCGCGCCATGTGGGATTCTCACCGGCTGGCTGGGATCGAACCTGTGCTGCAGAGGCTGTGAACAGCTTCACAGCACGGCGCTCAACCGCCTGTGCCACCAGGGAGACCCTTGACCCATTGTTTTAAGAAGCAGCACTAGTGAATGAAATACTTATTTTATTCATGTAATGTTTAATTCATATGGCACTTACTTATGACTTCTAAGGATTGTGACTCTAATGAAAAAGTCACTCATTTTGTCAGGGGGAAAGGATTTCCTGAGCAAACTCCATACAGGCTTTGTGAACTCCACCCCCATGACACTGGGAATTACAAATCCCATGATCCCCAAAGGGAAGGTTGTGAGGAGCTGAGGGCGGAGTTAAGCAACTAGGCTCTCAGTTTGAGTATTTAACTGGCCATGTGGCCAGGGGTCGCCATCTTGGGTATACAGCATGCTGGTTTTTTGCCAGTTTGGCGGGTCATTGGGATTCCAGGTCAGTGGAAAGGGCAGGACGCATTTATGAACTTATCTCCCTGAGTTATTCATTTCCCCTTCCCTCGTAAATAAACCTTTTATCAACCTTTTGTGTATGTCTGCAGTTTAGCATTAGTAAGTCCCCTTTAAGCACGCGGTAGGGACCCACAGTCAGGCAACCACATTTAATATCGGGGTTTGCCCTGTAACAATTTGAGTAGTTTTTTTTTTTTTTTAAAGATTATTTATGTATACAAGACCTGCAGTACAAGCCAGAGATGTGGGGGGTGAGAAGATTCACCAGAGACAGAGTGGGTAGCAGAACAGGCAGATCCACTGAAATATACTGTTGAGGGGAGCAGCGGGCGAATCAGGAGAGGTTTGCTGTACCATGTGGATTGCTCCCTGGTGGGCCAGGAATCAAACTTGTGCTGCAGAGGCTGTGGATTGCTTCATAGTGCTGTGCTTAAACCCTTGTGCCACCAGGGAGGCCCCTTGAATAGTATTTTTAAAAAGATTTATTTATGCATGCATGCAAGATTTGGGGTGTAGGCCAGAGGGATGAGTGGGGTGTGTGTGTGAGAGGATTCGCTAGAGACGAGTAGGGTGCAGAACAGGTGGATTCGCTGAAATACACTGCTGACGGGAGCAGCGGGCGAGACGGGAGAGGTCTGCTGTGCCATGTGGGTCAGCTCCTTGGCCGGGGATCAAACTTGTGCTGCAGTGGCTTCCTATAGCTTCATAGTGCTGAGACTTAACACCATATGCCACCAGGGAAGCCCCAATGTTTACATTTCTTTTTTTTTTTTTTCAAAGATTTATTTATACAAGAACTGGGGTACAGGCCAGAAGCCCGGGAGGGTGAGAGAATTCACCAGAGACAAAGCCGGGAGCAGAACAGGTAGACGGACCAAAAACACTGCTGAGGGGAGCAGCGGGCAAGACAGGAGAGGTCTGCTGTGCCGTGTGGGTATCTCCCTGACCACCTGGGAATCAAACCCATGTTGTAGAGACTGCGGACAGCTTCACAGCGCTATGTTCAACCCGCTGCACCACCAGGGACGCCCCCCTCAATGTTTACATTTCTAATGTGTTGTTAACCAGGATTGGTATAGGATTATTAAAAACTATTCAAATGAGGGGCCTTCTTGGTGGTGCAAGAGGTTAAGTCTCAGCAGTGAGAAGCTATTGGCAGCCACTGCAGCACCAGTTCAATCCCCAGCTAGAGAGCTGACCCACATGGTGCAGCAGACCTCTCCTGTCTTGTCCGCTGCTCCCCTCAGCTGTGTATTTCAGTTATTCTGCCTGTTGTGATACCCACTCTGTCTCTGGTGAATCTTCTCAACCCTCTGCACCTCTCGCCTACACTCCAGCTCTTGTATGCATAAATAAATTAATTAAATCTTTAAAAAAAAGGTAAATGTTTTTGGTTAGTTGAAATGCGTACCCTAAGATTCTTTCTATAAAATTGATTTATATTTCCCGTGTTCCCCCAATAGAAATACTAGCTTCACATATTGGTTCTATATGCTTACAGGTTCATGCTGATTTTATAAATTACATAAACTTGTTGGTAGATATTAACTATTCCAGAACAGTCAGATCCTTAATTTTTAAGGTGAGGAAACTGAGGCCCAGAAAAGTCTCTAGAAATGGTTCTGTTTATACTAAGTAGAACATAGTAATAGTAAAAGATAACCAATCAGATGTCTGTATCGACTAGCCTAATACAGAATTTTAAATAGTCAGATGTGCACAACTAAAATAAAAGAGCTTTTATTTCAATGACAAAAATATGCTTATTTCAGAAAAAATTAGGAACAAATAAAAATCTTGGGTAATACTCTAATTCTATCCTCCAGTTGCTATATAGTTAACATCTTGGTTTATTAAGATCCTCTTCATTTATCTGTGTATGTTTGAACATATGTATATAAACCTGCACATATATACATGTTTAATTATAATCCTTGGAATTAGCATATGTAACAATAGAATTATATACACTATCTTGTAACATGCTTTCTTCATTTTTATATGGTGAGTCTCCTTTCATATCAATGAGTAGTAAACATTTTAATTGATAGTGGCACATGATGGATTATTCAGAAATAATTGAACTCTAATGTGAGATTTTAGTTTTTTAATGGAAAGAGCATTGGTAATAATGGCCAGTATTATTATATGAGTACATAAGTACTTTGATTTTCTTATGACTAGGATATATTTGAGAAAAATTTCTGTGTTTTTTTAGGATTTCCTTAGGATAAATTCCTAGCTTACTGGGTCAACGGTTTGCCCATTTTTATTGCTTGTGATACATTGCCAGGTAACCATGTAGAAATATTGATATACTTTAACTTTTCTCATCAGTATATAAAAATACCTGTTTCTCTACCCCCAGGAGCATTTTTGAATTTTCATGGTATTAGGTTAGTAGCTTTATGTGGATAATAGTTAAATATTTCATATTCCAGTTATTTGCATATGTAATTCTTGAGTATTTAAAGAACTATTTCACAAAGACAAGTGCTAATTTGTAAAATTTATTAGCTCTCATTGCTATTTTCTTCTTTTTTTTTTTTAAGATTTATTTTTATTTATTTATACAAGCACTGGGTACAGTCAGAAGCGCAGGAGGGTGAGAGAATTCACCAGAGCAAGAGCTGGGAGCAGAGCAGGCAAAAGGACCGAAGTACACTGCTGAGGGGAGCAGTGAGCGGCAGGAGAGTTCTGCGCGCCATGTGGGACCCTCCTCCGGTGGCCGGGAGCAGCCGGGGATCGAACCGGCGCTGCAGAGGCTGCTGGCAGCTTCGCAACCCAGTGCTCAACCGCTGCACCACCGGGGAGGCCCGCTATTTTCTTCTTAATTATTCCCCCAACTGAAGTTATACTTTTTAAAAATATATTTCAATTCCATGGCTTTAATGCTCTGTTTTGGTTGTCTGCCCTGATATAGCCTTTAGTTATTTAGTTATAGACTGTTAGAAATGTGTCCTTAATGATAGTGTTAATGCTTTCCTGATTGCCTCCCCCAAAGAGGGAATTATGTGGTTTTAAGTAGTATTTTATGTAATCAATAACTTCAGGAATTCACATATAATTATTTGTGAGGACTTAGGAGTAACATGATTAGCTTTCAAAAAAGTGATTTATATATTCTTGCTAGAAGTCTTTAATCTTAATATGATTGTAGTGCAAATAATCCATAACTCCTCTAATCTCTTTGTATCTTTTTTTCTGAACAGACTCTTAGATCCTCAGACAAACACAGAAATAGCAAACTACCCTATCTACAAAATCCTCTTCTGTGTCAGAGGCCATGATGGAACTCCTGAGAGTGACTGTTTTGCTTTCACTGAAAGTCACTACAATGCAGAGCTCTTCAGAATACATGTCTTCCGGTGTGAAATACAAGAAGCTGTAAGTCCTTATGAGAAACTGTCAATGAAGCTTCCCAGTGCCCTCACTCTCTTGAAATGATTGCATTATCTATTATGAACACTTATAAGCCAGGTGAAATTCTCTGCTAGTGCTCCCTTTGTTCCAACTAATAGGCTGAAATATTGACATAAATTGAAAGTTTGGCTAACCAGATCCTTGCTGTTGCTATGAGGGTCAGAAACTATTTGACTGCTGCTTTTTGGGGGTTAGTTAGGTGCTTTGGTTGTAGCAATCACTCATTTGCAAATCATTTTTTTATTTGGACTTGAAAGATAGTTTTATTCAGTGTATTCAGATAGTTTCTACCAATGTAGGAAATCATTTTCAGTTGAACTTCTAACATTTATTACCACTTCTAAAACCTCTTCTCTGTCATTTGTAGGATTGCTTACTTTATAGGTATAACACAGTTACAGGGAAATCAGTGAGGAAAGATGAATTACTTCCCCTGACAAAGTCGGTAACCTTCATTCGTATTAAGACATGTTTATTTCTTGTGATAACAGCCCATTTCCTAACCCATCTGGTTCTAGGTAAGCCGGATTCTTTACAGTTTCGCCACTGCCTTTCGCCGTTCAGCCAAGCAGACCCCACTTTCAGCTGCTGCGGCACCCCAGACTCCTGACAGTGACATCTTTACCTTCTCCGTATCTTTAGAAATAAAAGAAGATGATGGTAAAGGTTATTTTAGGTAGAGCATCTTGTTTTTACTCCTTTTGCTCATATTAACGTTCTGTGTTATCTGTGGTTCACAGAAAACTATGTTATGTTATATAACTTTCATACTATAAGATGATAACTTTCTAGATGGAGAGTTTTATTAAGTGATAAAGTAGGCAAATATGCAGAGGTAAAATTTGAAGAATTTTAAAACAATAAAAAACTTCCATGTGGAGAAACAGATCATGTTACCATTTTCTTCAGTCAGGTCAGAGTACCTAGATGACTGGTAATGTGAACTATGATAGACGCTAAGTCAGCTAGACTTGCAGCTCTTTTTGTTTTGCTGGGCTTTTTAAAAAAAAAGTTTTTGCTGGTTTATTTTAATCATTTAAAGATCACAGTTACTGAAATCAAGTTTTGTAATTAAAGTTTATCTGAACACACTGAAAGGTGAGAAATGAGGTCTGTGTCCAATTCATATGGGGTTAGAAGTAGCTAGTTTGGGTTTTTAAGTAAAATGATACTTCTTTGTATTGTGAAAAGAACCTGGGAATAATAACAAAAAACTTAAGTTTTGTTTATTCATTGCTATTAACAGTGTCACCTTTTATAAATTCTTTTACATCTGTATCCTGACAGTAGTTAACCTGACAGTAGGTAATATCCTGACAGTAGTTAACCTTATGTATAAAATGAGGTGGCTAGACTCAAATCCTTTCTAATTTGAATATGTTGTGGTTGCAAGATGATTTTTTTCTGCATAGCCCATATCACAAAATGGGTGCTTCTTGGGATCTTAATCAGTAGTTGCATATAGAAGCCTCTTTTCTCTATGACTGTCTAAAGTGAGTAAAGTGAAATTATGTCAGCTATGAAAGATAGCTGACATTTTACTTTTGAATTTAAAAGCGCTATTACTTGTTTATTTGTTAGGAAAATGGATACATCTTGGTCTCCTTTCAGATTTTTTGGAATAGTCATGCCATCTGCTGGCTAGTTCAGTGTACTGTGCAACATAGCCTGGCTTTGCTTCTAGAAAGTAAGAGGTGCTGTAAGAAAGTAATGCTTTCTCCATTAGCTGTATTTCTGTTCCCACAGCAGCACAGTGATGTGTGCTTCAGTGTACATGCCTGCCTGGGAAGTAAATTTGTCATTGCAAGCTTTTTAATATTTTTTTTCTTTTAAAAAACAAATGTTTCTTATAAATTGTATTTTCCCCCCCTTTGTTGACACTGTGTAGATCATGTATGTAAATTTCAGTAGTAATATGAAAGATTTTTAAGCCCTCTGATTATAGAGACACTGTCATAACTTCTGAGATCAGACATAGTTGAGACAGCACAATCAAAATCACAAACACCCCTATCCTCTTACCCTCATACCACAGAGATGCTGCACAAAATTCCTGGGTGGTCAGGTTTGCTTTTCAGATTTGTTAGGACTTTGTTCTTTTTGTTGTGTGGTTTAGTCTAGTTTATAGTAAAAATAGTACTGTGTAACCTAATGTTGTAATGAGAACATAGAGAGGTAAGCCTGTCTTTGTCAAATTTGAAGTTGTCAAGCACAATTGCTTTTATTTAGTGATTCCATAATACGCCAAGGAGTTTATCTACACAAGTAGACATCAAGGTGTTCAAAGAGCTATTAACATAAATGTTCTGTTCAACATTACATATGTAACAAAATTAAAAAGTGGTAGCTTAATATTGGCTAGAATGGTTAAAATATAATGGTATACTCATAAGAGTTTATCACTACCCAAGATATATACATGGAGATATATGTAATTACCCATCGCCCAAGTTATATTGTGTTTTACCATAGCAAATGTAGACAAAATACTGTGGCAAAAATTAATGTTTGTCTTTATTCCAGAAAAAGTATAATTCTTTCATTGTTAATATTAAACACCTGCCTCTCAATTCAACCCTTAGGAAGATGGAAATTTTTCATTTATAACATCTTATGTTGTTTTTATTTTCTTTTTAATTTATTTTCTTTTTAATTTATTTTCTTTTTAACATCGTGAGAGAGATTGATGTTTTAGTTTTTATTCTGTAGGTTAAAATGAAAGCCCCAGGGATGCTAAGCCTGTACCTCAGTTTCTTAATTTATACAATAGGAATAAAATGTAAAATTACTTAGACCATTCAGTGATATAGTGACTGGGCCAGAAATACAATCTAGACTCCCTCATATCAGTAAAGTGAGCTTTCATGGATTGATTACCTAAACTCCAATCTGCTTCATGTTAATGTAGCTTTTTCTTGCCCTCCAGACTCAGGACACCAGACACAACTGTATATCCATTGTTGTTTTAAATACTGTTAAGAGATAGTATTTTTTATATCTCATCATCTAAGTACATACAGTCTAATATCAGTTAAAAATTGAGACTTGTCCAGAATCTTGTAGGTAAAATTCTGTTAGCCACAAATTTGACATTTTGGTGTACAAAAGTTTTTCTTTGCATGTCTGTCATTTCTAAGAATTTTTTGATCTTCCAATCTCTGCTACAGTCATTCCTTAATTGGTTAATATATTAGTGTAGCTGGATTTCACACTAATTTTATTTCTTCAGTCACTTTTTAGTTGGAGGAGTTATTCTTGAGCACACAACCTTTTATAGTATCTTCTAACATTTCCATTGCCACTGTATGAAAATTGTCCAGTAGTAAGGTAAAATTTCAATTGGCTGCATATTGGCTGATTGCCATAGGAAGATGTTCTCATTTGAGAACAAAGGAACCAGAGAACCTGGTGTGTGGGAAACCAATGGATTATTTCGGCAAACTGTCATTTAAAGAATATTTTCAACTTTTTTCTTAAGCTGATTTTTATTAACTGTATTATTAGCATTATTCATATAATTATTGTTCAGGGCATTGCTAGGCAGTAGCTGACTATAGGCCACAACGCCCTCACCTGTCATTTTTGAAGGCACCTTGTTTTAAAATACAAAGGAACTATGATTAAGTATCTTATTCATCACCTAGTTAAACATTATTTGCAAACAAATAATGCAAAAGTAATTTATTTGTAAAAACCAGTGACTATAAAGAGAAAGAAAAGCAAGCAAACATTTTTTGAGTGCCTGTGTGCTGGTTGCAATGTTAGGTGCTTTACAAATATTTAATTTTCAGAGAAGCAAAAGAGATAAAACTAAAGCCACATTTTAGAAGGCATAGGAATAGATTTTCTAGCTTTCATAGATGATTTAATGGGTTAATATAGTGATAATATTTTCACATAAAAGGGCAGATGATGATTTTTAAATTTTTTGTAATGATTTGAAAACCAGGCACAGAAAATAATAAAATCTGTGGTTGTTTTCTGGACATGATTTTCAAATCATAACAAAAATTACTGTAGTATATGTATGAAATGCTTTGCAAAATTAATAAAACTGTTGTTTCTACAGTGCAGTTCCCAAAGACAAGGATAGACAATGCTTTAAACTCCGGCAAGGGATTGATAAGAAGATTGTCATCTATGTGCAACAAACAACTAATAAAGAACTTGCCATTGAAAGGTAAGTGAGTTTAGTAAGTTCAGCTTAAATAAGAATTTTGATTTTGATCAATCTAATGGAGTAGTCATATACTATTAAAAAATGTATTTGCAAATATTTTCCCCTAGGGAATTCTTTTGCTTTGAAGTGACTTTGTTCACTTTTAATTATTTCTCCTACGTTTTCAGCTGATATGCTGACTTTAACTATGGGATAATGAAAGGTAACTATGGAATTTGCTGTTCTCCAGAAAGTAAGGATTGTTTTGGCTATGCTGTTATACAGCTTTAATGTGTCCTTTTTTTCATCCTAAGAATATTTTTATAATTGTATTTTTTTTTCAGTTGAGGTAGTAGTGTTGATTTACAGCACTATGGTGATTTGGGGGTGTAGGTTTATACCTCTTCAGATGTATGTTACCATAGCATGTCTACCACCGAAGCCCAGTCATTCACATCTCAGCCCACCCTACCCCTCTGGTGGCCTCAATGCTGCAGTCAGGTTTCTAGGGTTTATTTTGGTTTAGTTTTAGCTGTCCCTTTCATTTGTTTACAAGAATTTTTTTAGGTAACAGAACTGAAACTTTTTTTGTTGCATTTTTTCCAAATTTCCAACCATTGGTTCTTTTTCTTGTGTAGGTGTTTTGGTCTTCTCCTCAGCCCCGGAAAAGATGTACGGAATAGTGACATGCACTTGTTAGATTTGGTGAGGACTGCTTTTTTTCTTACTCTTTTTTTTAAAGTTATGCATTGTTTCCTCAAGGCTATTTCACTCACTCTCATTTGAATCTCATGTTGACATGTTAATGAAGGTGTTCTTGTCATTAAAACAATTAACAAAAGATAAGGGAATTTTCTTAATTTTGACTTGATATTTATTAGTCTGCCCCTCAGTCAACTTCATCTTGTTCTTGGCTGCAATGATGATAATCTCTTTATCTGTCATTTAGGGGTGATGTGCACATCAAAGGAGAAAATTTATTACAGAATTCTTAGTAAACTGTCATGAGCTTTAGAAAAGTAGGAGGCATTAGTATTATTGCTATTATATGAAAATGTTTATATGTTAATTATTCAATTAATATGTTAATAATACGTAAATATGTTAATTATTCACAGAAGAATTGAGCATAGTTTCAGGTAGTGAATTTACCTGATGTTTATACAATTTGATATGATTTACAAGCTTATAACTTGTCAGTAACAATTACTATAAGTAATTGATAGATTTTTCATTTTAACCATAATTATTCATATAAAAGCCTACATACCTGATCCCCTTTCATGTTCTTATATTTTTGTAGTTCCTATTTTTTTAAAGGCAGTAAAATGGAGGTTATGTTGTTCTTTTATTTTATTATTTGTGTTTGTTTTACTCTATGTTTTAGGAATCTATGGGCAAAAGTTCAGATGGAAAGTCCTATGTAATTACTGGGAGCTGGAATCCGAAATCTCCACATTTTCAAGTTGTCAATGAAGAAACTCCTAAAGGTAATATAGATTGTTGTCATCTTAACATACACAGTTATCCTAAGAACATACTATTGATAAAAATTAGGCCCACTTATTTGACAAATAATCCAATGTTTACCTAATTTTGGTGAAACCAAAATATTTGTTAGTTCTTTGAGTTTGTTACTAAATTTGACGTATAAACAAAGTATCATTTTCTGCCACTTAGTTTACCCACTCTGTCTCTTCTACATTTTCCTTCCCCACATTCCTTTTCTATTTATTTACTTATTTATTTACAGACTCTAAGTTTTAATTTGGGGAAGAAATGCTCTATGCACATATGATTAAAAATTCAAGCAGTGTAAAGGGAAGTAAAAATCTACCACAGTCCATAGGACCCCACCCCAAAGGGGGCTGACGTGACTACTTTCCTGTGTAGCTTTTTAGATAGTCTGTTGATAAACAACCCCTTCCAAGATAGCTCATACTTTTCCTACATGTCATTTAATCCCTGAGTAATACTCTATTCTGAAAATTTGCTTTATGAGCCTCTTACTGTTTTCACATCGCTTTTTCTTGTTATTTATGGTACTGTAGCTAATTGGTTACAGATACAGTTACCATTGTTAACTAAGATTTTAAAAGTTGAGAATTTCCGTTGTTGAATGTGGTATAAGAAACTCTTTCGCAAAACAATCTGACAGTACATTTCATAAACTTTAAAATATATACTGTTGTCACTTACTAATTCCACTTCAGTGGTTTTAACCAAGAAAACATTTCTTGGTAGAGAAATATTTTCAAAGCAACTATTTAACTGATTATTTTATTGAATTGATGGATTGCATGAAGATATTGAAAGTTTATAATGGAAGTAGTTACTTTAACATTAGTCATATAGAAAATATATTTTTAATTTTGAAATTTGCTCTCCCACCTCTCTCTCTAGACAAAGTGCTGTTTATGACCACAGCTGTTGATTTGGTCATAACAGAAGTGCAGGAGCCGGTTCGATTTCTCCTAGAAACAAAAGTTCGGGTGTGCTCACCTAACGAAAGACTCTTCTGGCCCTTCAGCAAACGTAGTACCACTGAAAATTTCTTTTTGAAACTAAAACAGGTACGCTAAGTAAACATACTGAAACAAAAATATTTATTAATATAGAAAATCATATTCACATAAAATCACATACAACAGTATAATTTTGGAAGGTCAAAGTTGTACGTAAATAAAATCACTTCAACAAATATTTAGAGACCTACAATGTTCTTGAAACAAATCAGAGAACAAGCTACATTAGAAATAGTTATAATTTTAGGAAGATAGGAAGCAAAACAGAAATAGAGATTTCTTTCCAGTGTTATCGTAGGGACAAAAGTAAACCTGAGTCTCAGCACTGATCTCTCAGCTCTTTAATGTGCCAGCAGAGAGGATCAGCAGAGGGTTATGTAGGGCATAGCTTTGAAGTTGGAGTGCTTAGATCTCACCATTGACTAATTTAATGACTTTGAGCAAGTTCCTTCAACTCTCTGAGCCTCAGTTTACTAAGTTGTAAATGACAGTGATAATAGAACCTTCTTCATAGGGTTATTGTGACACTGAGAAACTGTACAGCCAATTTGAAATAGTTCCTGGCAAATAGTATGTTCTTTATACGTTATAACAATTATTGTTGAGAGGAACTGTGGGATCTTAGTTCCACAGAGAAAGAATGAAATCAAAATGAGATGGATGATCAACCCCAGAGGAAGAATGCTTTAGAAAGAAAGCCATTTCACAAACGTCATTTTAAAAGTTTAAGGAGGGGGCCTCCCTGGTGGTGCAAGGGGTTAAGCACTGCACTATGAAGAAATCTGCAGCCACTGCAGCACGAGTTCGATCCCAGCTGGCCAGGGAGCAATCCACATGGCTCAGCAGACCTCTCCTGTCTCGCCCGCTGCTCCCCTCAGCAGTGTATTTCATCAGTCTGCCTGTTCTGTTCCCCACTCTGTCTCTGGTGAATCCTCTCACCCTCCCCCACATCTCTGGCTTGTACCCCAGCTCTTGTATGCATAAATAAATAAATCTTTAAAAAAAAATGAGTTAGTGAGAATAGCTTTTTAAAATTTCTAGGGAAAAGGTGATAAATATAAATTAATTTTATAATGTTTTGGTACAAATTTGTATATAACAAAATAGATATTCTCTTTAGCTAGAGTTCTGTCTCTTTAGTCTTACTTTACTTAATATAGATCAGAGTTCCCTGATCTTGCATTTACCTTGAGGTCTTATGTTAATACAACTTTGGATTCAAAGATGACATGGTTTTATAGGAATATTACATATGTAGGTACATTATCTAGAACAGTGTATCTTAATTTCATTTAATATTATTCCTATGCAGAGTTTTTAAATATTTTTTTTCCAAGATATTTATTTATACAAGAACGAGGTACAGGCCAGATATGCGGGAGGGTGAGAGGATTCACCAGAGACAGAGTGGGGAGTAAAACAGGCAGATGGACTGAAGGCACCGCTGAGGGGAGCAGCAGGAGAGGCAGGAGAGGTCTGCCATGCCATGTGGGTATCTCCCTGGCTGGCTGGGAATTGAACCTGCACTGCAGAGGCTGCGGACAGCTTCACAGTGCAGCGCTCAACCCGCTGCGCCACCAGGGAGGCCTACAGTGTTTTTAAATATTAAAATATACTTTTTTTTTTTTTTTTTTTTTTTTTTATAGAGGCATGCTTTATTTATTTGTTTGCTGGTTTGTTTGTTTGTTTTGTTTATACATGCACTAGGCACAGTCAGAAGCGCGGGAGGGTGAGAGAATTCACCAGAGCCAGAGCAGAGAGAGCAGAGCAGGCAGAAGGACCGAAGCACACTGCTGAGGGGAGCAGCGGGCGGCAGGAGAGGTCTGCACGCCATGTGGGACCCTCCTCCGGTGGCCGGGGAGCAGCCGGGGATCGAACCGGCGCCGCAGAGGTCGCGCGCAGTTTCGCAACCCAGCGCTCAACCGCTGCGCCACCGGGGAGGCCCAATATTAAAATATACTTTTAATTCGATTAACAAATGGCTTTAGGTGGGTAAACTAGGCAGAAACATGCATACCTGAGACATAGCCTGATAGGTTATTCTAGACACTCTGTTAAGGCTACAAGCTAAACATAGACTGAGTTGTCAATATTTTCTTTGTGGAAAGTAGAAGTTATATGTGGAAGCTGGGAGGAGGGCAGGGAATTTCTGAGAATGAGCTTTCATTTTTCTCCTTATTTGGTAGTCTTAAGGAGGGGGGTGTGTGTGAAGGGTAGTGAGTGGGAAAGTAGAGCTACAGTGTAAAGAATTTAAACATTTTGCTGACTTAGCATACTATGGAATCACTCATTATAATGTAATGAGTTAAGTTTATTCCTTCTTTTACTTTCATGGCATTAGAAAGTAATAGTTACCACTAATCATGGCCCTAATGTGACCATCACTCTGGTAGCCACTTGCACTTCTGTCTTAGTAATTTTCACAGTGCTCCATGAGGGAGGACCATGTTCTCATTTTATAGATCCACAGATGTAAAATAGTAGCTTTGGGGTGAGGTTGGGGAGTGTTGATGCATCCCTAAACCTTCTAAGAGTTTCACCCTGGGCTCTTCACACTCTCCTTTTGTCATTTTTTCTTTAAGAGTGTTTTTAGGATTTACTTAAATGGAGCATAATTTTAGAATTTTAACATCTTCGCAGCTCTCATTAGAAAGAAAAGGAAGCAGTACTACAGATTAAATATTTTAAATGTATAATATATAGTTATTGCCTCCAGTGTGGGAAAATAATTATAGAAAAATAGTTTAATACTTTGTTTAAAATTTGCCTTTTTCCTTTCACTAAAATTATCTGGTGACTCAGTAACTCCTTTTTAGCCTAAAAGCCATGCCAACAGTGGGGGTTATTATATATTAGAGAAGAAACTTTTAAAACTAGTGGGGAAAGTAGGATTGCTTTCTTGGATTTAAATTTTCAGCTACCATTTATTAAAAGAGGAAGAAAATGGTCTAAGAGTAACCTAAAGTGAATAAGAGATCAACTAAACTTTTTTTTGACACATTCAAATGCCAGTCTTATTGCACATGGTCCAAGAACACTCAAATAATACACCAAATACAATCAGATGTTGAAGATTGTTCTTCAAACATCATAACCAGTGAGGCCACGCTTGCCTGTGATCTCACTGACAATAAGGCCAAATCCACACCTCATTGACCCCCAAGCCATTCAGCAGTGAGCGCTTCCTTAACTGTGAGCTGTTTGAAGCAACCAGTTTTGGTATTGTTGGCTATTTTTTTCAAGCTCTGAATAGCTCTAGGGATCTTACCAGGCAGTGGAACCAGCTCAACTTTGGCATAATTTTATATAAGAAACCTTGAAGGACACCTTAAAGCCACTTGGTAGAGACAGCAGTTACCCTTTCTATGCCTTGGTAATTGGGTTTTTTTTTTTTTTTTAAAGATTTATTTATTTATTTATTTATTTATTTATTTATTTATACAAGCACTGGGTACAGTCAGAAGCACAGGAGGGTGAGAGGATACACCAGAGACAGAGCGGGGAGCAAAACAGGCAGACCGACGAAGTACACTGCTGAGGGGAGCAGCGGGTGGCAGGAGAGGACTGCACACCATGTGGGACCCTCCTCCGGTGGCTGGGGATCAGCCGGGGATTGAACCGTTGCTGCAGAGGCTGCGGGCAGCTTCGCAACCCAGCGCTCAACCGCTGAGCCACCAGGGAGGCCCCGTAATTGGGTATTTGATGAAACAGTCTGAAGACAGTAAATGAAAATGTCGCTTTGGCGTCCTGCTCACTAGGCATTCTTTTTTCCCTAAGGGTTTTTAAATGTAAACATAAATTTTTTTATTTAGAAAGGTTACCTTTAGTGTAGATATTAAAAGTAACACCTTTTTATTCTCACCTTCTGTATGAAAGCAGATGTGGTCCTTAATTTAAAAAAATTAGGGACCTCCCCTGGTAGCACAGCGGTTGAGTGCTGGGCTGCGAAGCTGCCCGCAGTCTCTGCAGCACTGTTCGATCCCCAGCCACTGGCAAGGGTCCCACATGGCACGACAGACCTCTCCTGCCGTATCTGCTGCTCCCCTCAGCAGTGTGTTTTATCAGTCTGCCTGTTCTGTTCCCCGCTCTGGCTCTGGTGAAATCTCTCACCGTCCCTTGTTTCAGACTGTACCAGTGCTTGTATAAATAAATAAATAAATCTTTAAAAAAAAATTAGAAGAATTTTATTTATGTTTAATAACACTTTCATTTTCAAGATAAAGCAAAAGGAGAGAAAGAACAATACTGACACTTTATATGAAGTTGTGTGCTTGGAAAGCGAATCAGAGAGAGAGAGGAGGAAAACTACAGCCAGTCCCTCAATTCGCCTGCCACAGTCTGGATCTCAGAGTTCAATGATACCTTCTCCTCCAGAAGATGATGAAGAGGAAGGTAAATTGTAGGGGGAGTTTAATTTCTCTTTGGGGGCAGAGGACCATGCAGACTATTATACTTTTACCAGGAAAGTGATGATGTGCTGTAATATTTAGAATGCTTTAAATTACTAGTATGAGAAATCTACTGCAGGCAAAGCACTCAAAAATCAATAATAATATCTGATTTTCCTTAAGTTAATTGTAATCAATGAAATTTATAGTGTGTCTTTTAAATATCAGTCTATTTACTAACTTTTGTGTATTAGCATATTTTTAGAGCATGTTTGACATATCTTTCCCCTAACTAAATGTGTTGTCCCAACTGATTCATCTTGTAACAATAAGTTTACTTGCCAAAATGTGGCTTCCACATATGACCTTATTAAATATACACCAAAATAAACTCAGTTTATGTTAAAATATACTAACATAGAAGTGAGAAATGGAAGAAAGCATCACAGGGAAGGTGATAGTTTGAGAGACAGTCTTTGATTTATAATTTAGTAACAGGCCTTATTCTTTTTTTTTTTTAAATAATAAATTTTATTTTTATATTCCCCCATACAATTGCAAATGCCCCATTCTGACCCCAATCCCTCCCCTCCCGGCCCCCACCCCCCAAAAACTGTCTCTGGTTCATAGTTTTTTGTTGATTTTGATTTTCACTTTCTTATAGTTATTCATTTTCCTGGTCCCTTATTTAAGTTTTCTAGATTCCTGCTATGAGTGAGACCATCCGGTATTTTTCTTTTTCTTTTTGGCTTATTTCGCTGAGCATGATCCCTTCCAGCACCATCCATGCTGCTGCAAATGGCATGTGTTTATCTTTTTTGAATGCTGAGTAATATTCCATGGTATATATGTACCACATCTTCTTGATCCAGTCATCTATTTTTGGGCATTTGGGCTGTTTCCAAAGCTTAGCTATTGTAAATAGTGCTGCTATAAACATAGGGGTGCAGGTGCTCTTTGGAATTGATGTTTCTGTGTCCTTTGTGTAAATACCTAGAAGTGGAATTGCTGGATCATATGGAAGCTCTATGTTTAGTAGGTCCAGAAATCTCCACACAGCTCTCCATAGTGGTTGGACCAGTTTGCACTCCCATCAGGCCTTATTCTTAAGGGAATAAAAGGCTAGTTATGAGGGGAGGTGTCTATCTAAGTAATACTTCCAGAACAGGAAGTATTCTGGAAACTCCTAGAGCGAATCCATCTTTCATACTGGGAAGTGTGATGGGGTATTATGAAGAGCTGTTTATGATCTGGGACTTTTAAAATGTAAGGGAAATTCAATGGGGATAAATAGGCTGGTTTGGGCATTTCTTGCTAAGAAAATGCATTAACTAAGGCATGGAGATGGCACAAGTGATTGACTGGGTTAGAAGAAATAGATATCTAAGATTATATGTCCTTTTCTAGTTTGAGTGCAAGCTCTAACTTTCCAGTTCTCATTGTTCTCTATAATTTCCTCTTTCAGTATGGATCAGTTATTTGCTGGTAATATTAATGCCACCAAATACTTGATACGTAATATGAGGTAGGCAGGTACTTTGTTTTAAAGTAAAATACTTTGTATAATCCTCACAAAAATCCTAAAATTTGCAATTTAGTATTGTTCTCATTTTGCACTTAAGGAAATGGAAACTCAGAAAGTAAATTTGTCTGAGGTCACATGGCTAGAAATTGCCAGGGAGAAAAGAAGGAGGCAGGATGGAGATCCAGAAGGAGACCTGGAGGAGGCACATAGAGCAGAGAGACACGTGAAGAAACTGCGCTTGCCTTTTGGTCGTGGACTGAGTGACAGAGATGTGGGATAATTACTACTGCCAACCTGTTGCAACTCTACTGGTGGTCTAGAAATGAAATTACAGGTCAAAAGGAAAACAGAAAATATGTGATAAACTGAATTATATGTGCTTCCATTAAAAAAATACAATGAGGAGGGGGCGGAGCAACATGGCGGCGAGGAGACGCTGCGAGTAAGATCTCCCATTAAAAAAAGTTAATAGGGAGGAAAAGCAGCAGGTCCCAGTGAGAACTGGGACACGGAAGATAAACGGGTGACGCCAGCGAACTGCCCGAAGAAGAAAGTGGCCATAAAAGAGGACTAGAAGGGAGGGAAGCGCAGAACCCTGCTCCCCTCCCCCGCCCACAGAGGCGGCACTCTCCGACCGGCAGAGAGGAGGAAAACAACAAACCAAAACGGCCCACAAGAACGAACGACGCAGCAAGCGGGACTGTGAGTGGAAAGGAACTATTGCAGCCACCACACCCCGTGAACTGGAGCTGAGGCGAACCCTGCAGGATTCGCCTAGGCAGTGAGCGAACTGCTCCGGGCGCCATTAGAGAAGAACAAAGACCCCGGGAGACGCGCACACAGCCCGGGCTGCCGGTAAGCTGGCGCAGAAACGCGGCGCGCTCGGGGATCTTGAAAAGCAAGTGCAGACCGGAATCGCGGCTGCCCAGGTACCTGCGCCTGCGACCTAGGCTTGCGGGGAGACGACCTAGGCTTGCGGGGAGACGCGCGGAGGTCCTCACTGAGGTGAAGGTCCCTCCCTGAGTGAGCAGGAACCAGGCACCCGGGCACGGGAGCGGTGCAAAAGGCGCCATTCCCGCGCCACTGAACTGGGCTACAGCCCGCGTCCTGGAACTGAGGGCTTTGAACTGAGACCCGGGGCACGAAAATTCGGGGCGTGGGTTCTCCACGACGGTGGGGCACAAGGCAGACACAGCACCCCAAAGCCGTTGAGGTGTACCCTACCATTCCCGCTCTGTTCCCTGTCCCACGGGGTGGGGGGGACGAAAAACAGCCCCCCAAGGACAATAGGAGAGAACTCTGGCGCCACCTAGTGACCAGGAAAAAAAAAGTCACTAACACCCCATAGAACAGGAAATTTCTTAAGACTGCTTGAAAAGGGCAGAAGGCTTCTGCAGTGGCCAGCCGGGAAGTTAATCCACGCCAGGCCCCTTCCGACCAGCAGTCTGAGCCCACAGAGGGAGCAGGCACCCACGTCCGGGGCAGACCGGGTGCGCAGAAGAGTGTGCCTGAAACCGGAGGCGCAGGGACTGCATCCCGCTTTGCCATTTGAGAACAGGGACATTTCTTCAGTAAAAACTGCCTAAAACCAGCAGAAAGCTCCCCCAGAAGGCAGAGATGGCTCCTGGAAGAGCCAGAGGGGAGCGGAGAAGTTCACCCAAGATGCCAGTCAGTCCGAGCATCACAGTGTCCCAACGCATACGACAAATTAGAAAACAGACAGTAGGGAGTAGAAGAACCACACGCAACCTAACAACTCCTCAGGAAAGAAGCACACCACAAAAAGAAAACCACTCCCCAGATTGCAACGACAGCAACTTGGAAGAACTTCTGAGCCTTCCAGAAAGAGAATTTAAAATTGCCATGATTAAAAAAGTGATAGATCAGAAGAAGGAAATTGAGTCCCTAAAGAGGGAAAACAATGGTCAGAAGAATGAAATTGAGTCCCTAAAGAGGGAAGTAAAAGAAATGCAGGAGATCAAAGAATTAATGGAGGAACTAAAGAACTCCGGGAAAAGCAAGGAAAGCAGAATAGATGAAATGGAAGAACGAATAAGTTCTCTTGAAGACACAGAAATAAAAAGAACCAAAACAGAAAAGGAAAGAGAAGTACGAAGGAAAAAGAATGAAGAAAGACTTCGAGAACTATCTGACTCCATGAGGAAAGGAAATATAAGAGTTATAGGAATTCCAGAAGGAGAGGAGAGAGATGTAGGAACAGAGAAAATATTCCAGGAGATAATTGAAGAGAACTTCCCAAATGCGAAGAAGGAGCTGAAAATTGATATACAAGAAGCAAGAAGAACACCAAACTTCCACGACGAAAGGAAAAACACAGCAAGACACATAATAGTAAAGCTCCCAAGAATCCAGGACAAGGAAAAAATAATGAAGCTGACAAGAGGGAAGAAACAGATAACATTCAAAGGAAAACCAATCAGGCTGACATCAGACTTCTCTGAAGAAACACTACGGGCAAGGAGAGAGTGGAGGGACATAGTCAACAGACTCCAAGAAAACAGATGCCAACCAAGAATACTCTATCCCGCAAAGCTCTTTCCTCCATGAAGAAAGAATATGGACCTTCCCAGACAAAGAGAAACTCCGGAATTTCATTACGAATAAACCCCCACTCCAAAAAATACTACAAGGCATCCTAAAGCCAGAACCTCAGAGGGACGAATAACAACGAAAGAAGACCAAAAAAAAAAAAAAAAAGTTATTAAAAGAATAAATAAAATCAAAGGAAAGACAAACATAATGGCAAATACAGATGCTAACATATCAATATTAACTCTAAATGTAAATGGACTAAACTCTTCAATAAAAAGACACAGAGTTGCAGCCTGGATTAAGAAACAAAACCCAACCTTTTGCTGTCTCCAGGAAACACATTTAGCTACAAAAGATAAAAATAGGCTCAAAGTCAAAGGATGGAAAACAATCCTACAAGCAAATGGGCCAAAAAAGAAAGCAGGAACAGCTATACTTATATCAGATAAAACAGACTTCAAACTCAAAAAAATAAAAAGAGACCCCAATGGTCACTACTTTATGATTAAGGGGACAATACTTCAAGAAGAAATAACACTCATTAACATATACTCACCAAACGAAAGAGCACCAAAATATATCAGACAACTGTTGTCCTCTCTGAAAACAGACATCAGAGAAAACACATACGTAGTGGGAGACTTCAACACACCACTATCAACAATGGATAGATCAACAAGACAAAAAATAAGTAAAGAAACTAAAGCTCTAAATAAGGACCTAGAGCATTTGGGCTTAACAGACATCTATAGAACACTAAACCCAAAAAAAACGGAGTACACATTTTTCTCAAGCGCACACGGATCATTCTCCAGGATCGATCACATACTGGGGCACAAGACAAACATCAACAGATACACCAAGATTGAAATCATACCAACCATCTTTTCTGACCATGAAGGCATCAAACTAGAAATAAATCATAA